CGTTTAAGCAAGGAATGCAGACTGCATTTCTCTTAGCACAAAAGAATAAACTAGTTTACATGAGCCGTATAATGAAAATATATTTATATTTAGAGATACCATTTTTTTTTCATACATCTTACACGATTTTTATTAGCAGCTATCTGCGTTAGTAGCTCTCGTGGCCGATGACCCCATTTTTTTTCTTCTGCATCACTCTCACGTTCGCTTTGACGTGGAAAGGGTTCGATTATAGCATTAAGGTAGTAGCTTAACGCCCCGGATGGCGGAAAACACGAGAGTTATGGCTCGTTAAGTATTGCGGTACCTACTACACAAGGGAATACACGCGAAGTTAAGTAATAGTGTACTCGTCGTACAACTAGCTGTATGAAACAATACGATGTATTTTTTACCGCAGAGATTTTCCGACCAACTTGGAAACTGTATTACTATATTACTGCGTTATGCGCAACATTATTTATACGATAGTATTCATCTTGATACGATGTTAAATAAGTAAATAAGTATAAAATTCGCTACCATTTGGAAAATCAAGATACCGCCCGTCCGTCGAAGCATATTAATTAAAAAGTAAATGTTTGAAATCTTCCGCTGTAAAGTTAAATATATCGCATTGGAGTCAACCATCGACATTTACTACGCAAACTTAATGTTAAAGTACAAATCACATTAATTGAATACTCAATCAATGTTATTCTACTGTCAGCTATTACACAGTACTAATAATGGCAAATGCTAGCACATTTTACTCATACTCGTAGATGTGTGTACATAACGATTCGCTTTAATTTTTTATGATTCTCTGTATCCAATATACCGAATTTATAAGTGATATTTAAAATATTCGTGAAATTATCGAAAATGCAATTTCCATTTATTATTATTATTAAAAAATTTATTATTAAAAATGTTCGCTGCATTTGACCTCGCAATAAGATAGGTACACTGCGTTAATAGAAAATATTTTTAAATATATATATTTATACTAAAATATTATTATACGTATGAGGAACAATTTTTGAGTTAGAGATGGCGTAGTGTTCAATGATGAAAGATTTATATAAGCTACTCTGGGATGTTCAAAAAGGATTTTTTTTTCGTCGTCAGTTTATATACTGGAAAAACCTAAACATTCAAAGTGCATTATGTCTTTTAATTAAAGACAAACAAAATGCATTTGTTTAACATTTTTAGCAATTGTGTTATTAATTGTGTTTAAATTGTTTAGCAATTCTGTTTAACATGTCACTGATTGACATGTAATTTTTTGTAAAGCATGCAGTTTTCTTGTGGCTTTCTTTTTCGTTTCTTGAAAATTATAAATTTTTGACAAAACACATTTTGAAAGTCTACTCTTTATATATACGAGAATTACATCGAAAGTAATAAACAATTTTTTATACATTAGAATTTTTATTATTGAAAAATCAAATAAATTGAAACTGTTCGAAGGCGACCGCTAAAATCATAGATCGTGTCAATATAATCCTCAATTAAACATAACAAGAAAGAGTTGATAAAATAATTAAGGCAAAAGAGATTGTAAATAAAATTGCAATAACATGGAGGCAATCCACAAAGTAATGCGTCACTATCTTTGGATAGCTAGAACGGAGTTCTACTATAAGGGAATATTCAAAATTTCTAAAATGAAGGAAAAATGTACACAAAAGAATCGAGATTACGTAGAAAGGTAATCAAAAGTCTGTTAATTAAAAATGCACTTTATTTTTTAATAACAAAAAAATCAGGGAAAAAGTGACGCCGTTAATTTTGTTATTTTTGTAGTAACGATTTAGTAATGTAAAAAGAGTAAAAAAATAAAGAAAAAGTAACTTGTCATTTAATAATAACATATTGACGCGTTTACATGCTATTTTAACTCGTCGCAAGTAATAAGTTATTTTTTTCAATAAATAACACATAATGGTGACAAATTGCTTTTAAAAAATGACTTTTCCAACCTCAGCTTTCAGTTAGTTATTGTTATCGCCGTAAAAAATTGCAACGTTTTTATCAAATCAGTATTATAAAAGAAACAGCAAAAATAAACATTACTTATTTCTCATTTCTACAAAAAAAATTTAATTTATAAAAAAATTGTTACTCTTTACTTTCAAATTAGTTTATAGTTTTTGTATGAGCCTCGTGTTATTTTACAATATTGTCATTAAATTACAAACGATTAAAAAATTTGTAGTAAAAAATAGCGATGTGAACTTTATTCCACACGATGTTTCTATTATTCTCTGTATTGGCATTAAATTCAACATCAACATAATCGATTAATCGAACACCATGGATTTTAAATGCACATTATGTTGGTATTAATTTAATTATGACATAATATTTAATGTTGATATTAATTTAACACCAACATGGTGAGTATATAGACACCGCATGGATGTTAAATTTACACCGACATTTTTAAAAATGTATAGTTTCTGCTCTTTTCTCTTCCATTCTCTCTCTCTCACACACACACACACACGCGCGCGCGCGCGCGCGCGCGTGCACAATTCACATGTATAATATCAAGAATCTCAACTCTCGACACAATTTGGCAAAAGTTGGCACAGTACAATGCAGCGGATATAAAATACACCGGCGACAGTCGGTCGTTTGACAAGACGAAACGTTATTTTTCGAGAAATATCCTCGTTGGGGATGGTCTTCATTATGCCTCGCTTCCGTAAGTCGCAACATGAAGATTCCGAGTCGTGCGTGTCGTCGAAAAAAACGACGGTTATCGCACGGAAACGGAAAATCGTGAAAATCTCGGCACATCTGCCTTTGCTGTGCGAAACCGATGAATTTCTCGTTTGTGCAATTCAGCCGAGTAATCTAATGAGCAAACGCCGCGAACTTGGCGCGCGGACCGGAAATTGAAGTATACATTATGAAACGTGCCATTGGTGCGATGTTTTCTATGCAAGCCGCGTCGCCATCGCCGCCGTCGCCATCGTCGGCATCATCGTCGTTGCGATCGCGAAACCAGGTCGCGTATGTCGCGCGCGCGGCCTTATCCCCGAATTCGCAGGCTTCTTCGCACTCGAGGTATTGCCATCAGTTTTCTGATTCGCGGCCATTTCGCGGCCTGTAACGATGAATATTTAGCGACTGATACGTGACTCCGTTGAATATCCGGATTGAGCCGAAGGATCGTTTTCAAAAGGAATCCTTCTCAGACGAACATATAACTCGCGAAACAGGGAAAATATAATTTATTGAGTTTGCCAGATGTATATCCTTTAGATGCCTTTCTCCGCATTACCCGCAATGCCATTTCTCTCATAATAATTTTTCGCATAAATCCTGCGCACCCTTTATACAGAGGTAATAGCAGCGACGTTGGATTAAAAACGCTCACGGGTTTATCATATGGCGCGCGATATAAATGAAATATAGAGTTACACTCTGGTATACATACCGCGATAAATGTGATAATTCTAATTTAAATTACTCGCTTCTGTGTGATATCCGCAGTGTATCCTGAGTATAGTTATTGTTATTACTTTTGTCCGTTTATAATTATTCCGCATGGCGCATTGTATTTACGCGTAATTTCTTCGCGATTACAATTTCCGCAAAATTATCGAGTCTCATATCGTTGGAGAATAATTCCTTATTACTAATCGTACATGTAAGATGTGAGTCTTCGCGATAAACTTTGATCGTCAAAGTTGAACGTAGCTTTTAGCTTAAACTATAACACCACTCCCTGCTACGAGTTTTAGAATGACAAACCGTCGCAAATTGACGATTCAGAAGAGTTTCGTTTATTTACGAGTTCTCTGATAAATATGACTGTAAAATTCATATTTGACTCTCTCTCTCTCTCTCTCTCTCTCTCTCTCTCTCTCTTTCTCCGATCTTTTTTTACTTAACTTAACCGGTCAAACTGGCTTCATCAGTAGATAGAATTTACGCGAATAATTAATCTTTTATACAACAGGGATTAATTAACTCGTGCAAATTTATTCGCAGCCAAAGGTTCTGTACATCCATCGGTCTATTATCATGGATACTGAGAATGGATGATGCGCAGTTCGGAAAGCGTTATTTGAAATTTTATCGAAATTATGTGTAACATCAAGTGTACGACAAAATTATATTTTGGTAAAAATTCTGTAGTTAAACAATTTCGAAAATCAAAGGATATGAAATAAAAGTTTTTTTCTCTATAAATAAACTAATTCTATTTTATTAATTTATTCTTTTCGGAGAATATATTTATTTTTCATATGCATTCTGTACTGTATGTTTCTGTAATATGCGCAATATAAGATTAAATTAAACAATTTTCAACCGCAAAGGAGTTTTCTGAATCAATTTCAAATTTTAACATAGATTATTATTATTCACTATAATAGTTGTTTTGCGTGCTAAGTTCGATCGCCGCAATAATATAAACGTCAAAGCGAATGTCAAGCGCCTATACCGATTTTATAATTATATTACTCGTATAAAAAGACGAAAATTGAAAATTATATGAACATTTATTTCTCATAATGGGGATTGGTCGAAACTGTCGAAAGAATCATTGCGTTTATTAAACGAGAAAATTGTACTCGTAATTAAATCTGAATTAATATCACCTCAGATTATCCATTTCATATTATTATATGTATTGCAACAATTTTCGTATTTATCGTCTAAATATAAGTACTCATGGTACAAAGTGTCCAATCATTATACAATGATTGTCTCTCTCTACGTTTTCTATATAGATATTAATTAAAATATATAGTATTTATATTAAAATATATAGTTTTATTAAATAATAAAAATCTTAATTTAGATGATTTTGTTGAAACTCAGATGGATATTCATTCTGTCAGTAATGCTTTCATATGTTTCTACAGAAAAGTAAAAGAGTATTTGAGTTATTAGGGAAAATGAATTATAATAGAATTATTTCGCTATGTTCGAAGAATGCTCGAAATGTTATTTCATACCTTTTAATTTATAATTTTTTCATTTCTGTGTTTGCGCAGGAGTGGACGGACTATAATCTCCAGTGGAACGAGTCTGAATACGGCGGAGTGAAGGACCTTCGAATTACGCCGAACAAGCTTTGGAAACCGGATATCCTCATGTACAACAGGTAATCTGGCCTCGTTACATCTGCGTAGAAACTCTCATTTTGTATTGACAAGCCAGTAGCTTCGATTAACAAATTTGTTAGGAGCATTTCAGTTTCGGGCGCGAGAGGAGGGTTGGCCAGTCCCTTCTATAATAGAATTCTTAATTGAAATGGTCGGACAAAAAGCCGCGTATTAACTACGCTCATAATCATCGTGTTAATAAAATGTGCCTAGTAAAAATACACGTCCACAGTCTGATTTCCCAAAATTTCGCGCTCTAAAACTTGGCAAGTATTTTAATATTTGAGACGGTCTAATTGCGTGAAGATATTTAAACCAAGATAATTTTGAATTGATAATAACAGCGTAAAAAGAGAGAGAGCAAAGTCTAATTCTTCTCACATTATAATAATCGGAGAATAACGGCAATCGAATCTGTTGAGACGCGAAAATAAATATATACGATGAGTTTACGTTACATGAAATTTCTATTCCTCTACACAATATTAAGTAATTCACCGTGATTTAGCTGCAATTGCTACGTATCGATGAGACTAACCCATGGGATTTCTGTTAGCTCGGTCGCGATTCTAGGCTGTCAATATTTCAAGAGTTACTGTTTACGTGAAATCGTCAAAAAACCGACAACCATACAAACAATTTTATATCGACTCGTATCTACATGACAATCGTAAAAGTACAATCACAATCGTGAAATAAACTGGTGCGACTTTATTATCGTAAAAATAAAACTGCACGAACTATATTTGCCCCGAGTAAGCAGCCCACGTTGAATTTCTTCGATGGATTTTAAACAGCTGCCACTTGTCCGGAAGGCACACCCCCTCTGCACTCTTACGAGAGAGAATTAAGATTTTTAAGAATGTCTTTTTCAGAAAAGCTGCGACGGCTAAGAAATAGCGCGGCAGTAGCGCCACTGCAGCAAAAGTTTTTTCATTAACTTTAAGTTCGCTCCCTTGGAGACACTCCATACGGAGCGTAAATTATTTTCGATGTATACCTCGTACTCTTTTCACGTGCCGTTACGGTATTGCGAATGTAGTATTAAAAAAAAAAAAGAAAAAATCGAAGGGTACGTAACTTTTATCCTAGTGTTGCTTCGCATCTCTCTTATTCGAAAGTATTATATATATTATACATATACATATATATATATATATTTCTTTTATATATTAAAATTCCCTGAAGTGCATGCATTTACTTGAATCCTAGTAAGAGCCGAGTATATATTATACATTTATATACTCTTGTACTATGTATATCTTTACATTTTTCATTTGTAAATATTGTATCCACGTAATTATTGACCCCGATCGTAGAAATTTTTCTTATATGACGGATCGACTCGCTTCTCGCTTCGTATCGGTCTCTATACAATTTATATTTCGTCGTAATAATAAATGTACGAAATCGCGAAGCGAGTCGAGCCAAACTTTCGAACGCAGTTATTACGCAGATTTTAATTGAAAGGCTAGAGTATATAACGAGTTGCATAAGTACCAGTCATTTTCATTTATCGAAAAATTCTTAAGTCAACCACGTTGTACGTTTCGCGAGGAAAAGCAGAGATTTGCAAGGAAAATTGTTTGGACAATCACTATTTTATGATTGAAATGGCTCGAGGAGCGAACTTGGCGTTGAGAAAAAATATCAAATCAAGAATCACGTCCCCGACTTAAAACAATCTCTTCTTTTTTTAGAACGATGCGCCGTGGCTGGCTTATAGTCTCAGCCATTCTCTCTATCATAGTCTCTAGAATAATTAGTCTTAGGTATTTATAGGCTACTAGTTATACATAATACATACAATTTCCAGGCTGCTGTACGTGAACGCATTTATGCGATTCACGTTCGGCGAACCGCAAAATTAATACTTCCGTCGCCCGCTACCAGCCGATTCGCGTGATAACAAAGCGGACAATGTTGATCGCGTGATCGGCCCGCTTCATCGTGTCCGTTCTCGTGCCTCGCACTAATGCAATGCGGCTGATGCATAAGTTACACGTTTTTGATCGCCTGACGCGGAGTAATCAGATGGAACGGAATGCGATTTGTTACAAATATCAGGAGAGAACATTGATAATCGGGTGAAAAACTGGTTTTCTGTAAATTTCGATATATTTTTTTTTTATATCGACAACCACTGTGCACTAACTAATCCTGTCGTGATTGAAAACGGAATAGCGAATAAATTCGGGCGGTTTAATTATAAAAGCGGCGGATGAAATAACAGCGTTTCGATTTGGAGGTTGAACCAGATTCTCCCTTCCCTCCTTCACGTACGTTACACGCTCCGATTATTTTCGATCGGTTCGTGGATATTCGTCGTTCGACCAGGCGTAAATTAGATATTCGTCACCAACTGTCGACGACTATTGGCTTGGACCGAATTAACAATCAAATATGATTAGGATCGTGATCCATATCCAGAATGAAATTTCGAGCCAAGTGGTGCAGCTCATAATGAAACACTTTTTTTCTTACAAAATTTTAGATTAAGTGTAATCGAGAACTGCGTTTGATCTGGTGTATCAATCCTTTCCAAACTCATACATTATGATCACAAACGAAGTGTTTGTGTCATACTGTTAATGCGCTCTTGATAAAAATAGTCATCAGAAATAGAAGAGCGTGAAGAGACAATATTTCTTAAAAAATGCAAATAGATAATAGAACTATTGTTAAAGAGATAAAGAAATTTATATGAAGTTATTGAGATTATTTAAGCAGAGGAAAGAATTTTTAATGATTGTGCATTTTAAACAAAAACGCTATTAAACAAAATTAAATATATAAGTATCTGAATGGGGGTCAGAGAATTAAAAATTAATTAAATAAGCAATAAAAAGAGTCAATTAGCTAGGCAATGATGTTAAAATAATTACAAATATTGTGTCTTTACGTTTCGGTTTATATTAAACCATTTTTTCAATGAACATTTTAAAAACTGACTTACAATAAAAACGTATGTATGTAAAGTTACTAGTCAATCGCTATATGATAATAGACCGCTCAATAAATTATACATTTTGTTTAGTTCATAAAAGATTTGTGATGGTAATTACTTCTGGTGTAAAATTAAAAATAGTCATAACAATTCGAATATAAATAACATTAGTTTCAACCAGGCTAATTTAATAATAAATTGGTAGCAAAATAGATGTGGAGCAGTGATGGATAAAGCAGTGAATCAAACGATCTGTGACATTTAACCGTGATAAATAGGAAAAGGAAAAGACAAAACCGTGCCGTGGGGACACGACAGAGAAAGACAATATGTAGACTGATTCGAAAGTGCAATGAGAAAAGTGAAAGACACTAAGTGGAAAGAGGAGGAAATGGTCAGCCAGACAGGCCGAATCCACCTCCGACCGCAACTAACAACTATCCAAGTTAGCTAGCCCGAGGTCGGAGTGAGAGAAATTTCTCGCTAGGAACTGCCGGCGCTCTGGTAAAGTGTGCGGGATCACTTCAATTAATTAAAGTCTCGTCTCGGGGAAACTTTGCCTTTGTGGGTATCATGGGAGCGTACAATGACTCGGGACTACTGGACGACTTTCCCGTGACCGACGCGCAAACCGGAAATTAATTTTTCAAGAACACACGCGCTCAGTAAGATCTTTTCTTTTTTGGTAATGATTTTTACACACAAAAATAGGAATTTTTAATTTCTGATACGTAGCGAATACGAATAGACGGCTCCAAAGTATAAATGATGGCTTGTTAATCAAAAGTGACATTAGAGATCGATAGGAACACTGATGATTGGATGAGTTAAGCTTGGATTTCGATGGGTCTCTTCAATGATCATTTTCAATTTGCTGCTTGTCCCTCCGCGAATACCGAGATCAATTTGTAATGGGCGCTTATTGTTTCATCGACAGTTCGCCATAACGTACTATACTGTCCATGCAATCTCGCATTTATTCGTAATCATTCGTGTCGTATTTCATACGTATATAAATGTGCGTTCACAGGGACATTCATAAGAGGACAGATATTTAATCCTAGAATGCTACTGACATTGAGTGATACAGTTGTTGTTGCTATATTGATAGGTAAATTTTACGTGCTGGGGAAATAGGCTACTTTTAATTAATTAATGTAACACCAGATTTTCATACATTTTACACTTTTAATGATCAAATTAATGATAAAATAATATTTATAAGACTTTTATCTGGATTCGGAAAGTTACCTTGTAAAAGTAACTATAATTACAGTTTTTTTTCTTAAAAAATAACTAGTCACTGTCACAAATTACCGTCATAATTTTATAAAGATTTAAAATGTAGCTAGTCGTTACTTTTCAGTCATTTTTCTGTTAATTTATTGTAATTTTTTGCATTGCTATTTTAAATACAAGAATTTTTTACATTTCTAACATTACTGATTTATTTTGATTTTTTATTATACTAAACATTCACATATAAAAGACTTCTAGTTTGATTCTTAATACAGACATTTGCAGATGTGATGATTTTATTAGGGATAAAGATGTATTCTAATCACAACAAATAATCACTGATCGATCCATATTAAAGAAAAAATTTAAAATATATAAAGTAATCATATAAAACTCCAATTATTAAATTGGTTACCAAAAAATAACTAATAATAAATTTGATTGGTAACACACTCACACACAGTGCGCTTTGGTACACATTAAAGCTATCATACACAAATTGACATAAAGATATATGTTTAATATAAATACAGATGTTGGTTAAACGTAAAATCCCCAACATACAATACTTTATTGTGCTCTCTCTATTAGATAAAATATGTATTTTATAATTCAAAATATTTAATTTCACTTCTACACTCTGATTTAATCAATGCAACGGCTTTAATGTGCATCAGTGCGCACTAATGCGCCCAACCAAATTTGCTATAAATTAAGTTATAGACAGAAAGAAAGGAACAAAGTTAAGTTGCAGTTACTGAAAAAAGTAACTTTAACTGTGTTACAAATAATGAGTTACTTCCCAACTCTGAC